CCAAAACACAGAATTGAGTTGTAGACTTGATAGTGCAAACACGCTGCAGCTGGCAGGGGAGTGGCATGAATGGTTGCAGTAGTTCTAGCACTCTGGCATTAGAAGTAGTTGTAACCTATGTCTTTCATGCACTTACGTTTTCCCTATTAAATATCCATCCATGCTTTGCCACTATGGTGTGAGAGTTTTCCTCTAAGGAAAACTTTAAAATCTGCTTATTTCTGTCCTTCCCTCTCTCTCTCTCTCTCTCTCTCTCTCTTTATCTCTCTCTCTCTCTCCTCTCTCTCTCTCTCTCTCTCTCTCTCTCTCTCTCTCTCTCTCTCTCTCTCTCTCTCTCTCTCTCTCTCTCTCGCTCTCCCTCAAATTTTAATTAAAAACTACCTTATCATTGACCAATATATTTCTTGCCTTGATAGTATCGCCGGTGGAAGTGCGGGTGGTGGGCGGTGGTGCGGGCGTGCGGGCGGGCACCATCCTGCGTCTAGTGTGTCGGGCTGCGGGCTCCCACCCACCCGCCCACCTTACCTGGTGGCGCGCCCACGCTCGCCTCCCCCATGTCACCCACGCTGTGAGTATCACGTTGTCTCTGGTTATACTACTTAGCCACTCCCACTACCTCAGCCACTCCCACTACTTCAGCCACAAACACTACCTCAGCCACTCCCACTACCTCAGCCACTCCCACTACTTCAGCCACTCCCACTACTTCAGCCACTCACACTACTTCAGCCACTCCCATTACTTCAGCCACTCCCACTACCTCAGCCACTCCCACTACCTCAGCCACTCCCACTACCTCATCCACTCCCACTACCTCAGCCACTCCCACTACCTCAGCCACTCTCACTACATCAGCCACTCCCACTACCTCAGCCACTACCACTACCTCAGCCACTCCCACTACCTCAGCCATTCCCACTACTTCAGCCATTCCCACTACCTCAGCCATTCCCACTACCTCAGCCACTCCCACTACCTCAGCCACTCCCACTACTTCAGCCACTCAACTACCTCAGCCACTCCCACTACCTCAGCCACTCCCACTACCTCAGCCACTCCCACTACCTCAGCCACTCCCACTACCTCAGCCACTCCCACTACCTCAGCCACTCCCACTACTTCAGCCACTCCCACTACCTCAGCCACTCCCACTACTTCAGCCACTCCCACTACCTCAGCCACTCCCACTACCTCAGCCACTCCCACTACCTCAGCCACTAACACTACCTCATCCACTCCCACTACCTCAGCCACTCCCACTACTTCAGCCACTCCCATTACTTCAGCCACTCCCACTACCTCATCCACTCAGACTACCTCAGCCACTCCCACTACCTCAGCCACTAACACTACCTAATCCACTCCCACTAGCTCAGCCACTCCCACTACTTCAGCCACTCCCACTACTTAAGCCACTCCCACTACCTCAGCTACTCCCACTACCTCAGTCATTGTCACTACCTCAGCCACTCCCACTACCTCAGCCACTCCTACTACCTCAGGGACTCCCACTACCTCAGCCACTCCCACTACCTCAGCCACTCCCACTACTTCAGCCACTCCCACTACCTCAGCCACTCCCACTACCTCAGCCACCCCCACTACCTCAGCCACTCCCACTACCTCAGCCACTCCTACTACCTCAGCCACTCCCACTACCTCAGCCACTCCCACTACCTCAGCCACTCCCACTACCTCAGCCACTCCCACTACTTCAGCCACTCCCACTACCTCAGCCACTCCCACTACCTCAGCCACTCCCACTACCTCAGCCACTCCCACTACCTCAGCCACTCCCACTACCTCAGCCACTCCCACTACCTCAGCCATTAACACTACCTCATCCACTCCCACTACCTCAGCCACTCCCACTACTTCAGCCACTCCCACTACTTCAGCCACTCCCACTACCTCATCCACTCCCACTACCTCAGCCACCCCCACTACTTCAGCCACTCCCACTACCTCAGGCACTCAAACTACTACCTCAGCCACCCCCACTACCTCAGCCACTCCCACTACCTCAGCCACTCCTACTACCTCAGCCACTCCCACTACCTCAGCCACTCCCACTACCTCAGCCACTCCCACTACCTCAGCCACTCCCACTACTTCAGCCACTCCCACTACCTCAGCCACTCCCACTACCTCAGCCACTCCCACTACCTCGGCCACTCCCACTACCTCAGCCACTCCCACTACCTCAGCCACTCCCACTACCTCAGCCACTCCCACTACCTCAGCCATTAACACTACCTCATCCACTCCCACTACCTCAGCCACTCCCACTACTTCAGCCACTCCCACTACTTCAGCCACTCCCACTACCTCATCCACTCCCACTACCTCAGCCACTCCCACTACATCAGCCATTCCCACTACCTCAGCCACTCCCACTACTTCAGCCATTCCCACTACCTCAGCCACTCCCACTACCTCAGCCACTCCCACTACCTCAGCCACTCCCACTACTTCAGCCACTCCCACTACCTCAGCCACT